GCCAAAGGCACTCGGGCCCTCCTGACCTGCTCTCCCATGTGTCGCAGCGCAGAACCATTTGGGGTCACCTCAAGCAAAGACTCCAGGACAGAGAGCTGCAAGATGCCGTCTGTAAGAACAGACCACCAGCAAGAACACAGGACTCCGTGCTGCAGTCTATAGCGTTCAGCCACAAACCATATGGACTCGTGTTTTTCAGGGAAAAGCCTGGCCCAAGCCAAACAGTCTGTTTCCAGCTTCCATTCCACCCCTCCTGCCCCCCCCTTCTCCTTGTCCCCTTCAGAAAAATGTTGTTTGAAGTTGGGCTGGTGGAGTTGAACCAGGTTTGGTGTAGACACTCCTGCCACACTGAACAGGGATGTGCACGTCCACAGGCTCGGCACGTATTCAGGCACCACTGCTCTCAGCTTCTCCAGCCGCAGTGCTCTTTGAGTTCCCATCCCAGAGATGTACGCAGCGCGATTTTGCAAGGTTACACATGCATCGAAGAGGGAGAAAAGAAACAGTGAGAAGACTTGCAGAGCCATTTGAGTCAGTCTGCCTCTACGCTAGCATTCAAATGTCTAAGGAGGGAAGAGAAGACAGCACTTAGCCTGGCTGACCGCATCCACGCTCTTTCACTCACCCCTCTTCTCCATCTCTTCCACATCCAGCGTTTCCTGCTTTTGCTTCTCCTGATCCTCCCTCGGGAGCAAGGGAAAAAAACAGAGACCAGGGCTGTCAGTACACAGAGCTGTGCCTAACCCTCCCCTGTGGTAGCATTTCACCCCCTTCCTGTTCCTGTTTTGCCCATTCCTCCATAGGTATCACTGTTCCTTGTACCCCCCCTGCCAGTCCAACCACATCCACTACTTCCAACACTTGTATTTCAGTCCTAGCCCACTTGACCAACCTTACCCGTGTTTCTCTTTTAGGTTTTCAGGAATCAGCTCGTCTGGAGTCCAAAGATCCTGCCGGAACAAATGCAGACGTTTCAGTACAGAACAAACTTCTCCCACACTGGATGATGCCAAACAGCCAGCTCCTTGTCTCATCTCTCCAGTGAGTATCAGACCAATGGTTCTGGCAACAGCCAGACTGGGGTAATGCGTATGGTTACAGCAGCAATTTTCAACTAACTTTAGTGCTGGAGCAGCGGAAAGGCCTTAAAGATCCACCTCCTAATGACTTGGGGGTCCTTCTCATCAGCATCTGATCCCTTCTGGATCGTGTGCTACTGAAGTGAAATCTGGCAACTGTCTTGGTGAGACCAGGGCAGGAAGCTTAAGATGACAGTGTTACTTACGGGGTCGTTAAAAGTTTCTCCCAGATGCTCCACTGCGTAATAAATCAAATTCTTCTCCATCAAAGACCTCTGCACATAATGTTGAATATTCTAAGGAAGCAAAGAGGCTGTCAAACAAACACTCCACAAAAGATAACCCCATCCCTGTCCAGGGCAGAAACCTGCTCCAGCACCCTGCTGTGCTCTATGAAAGCCCAGTTCTGTCCTGGTACAGACTGCAAGTAAATTCAGGCTCCAGTTTCTTCAGACCTGGGCCTGGCATACATCTGCAGCGAAACACATTTCCCTTTTTGTCTCCTGGACTATGATCCTGTCCTGTAGGACAGGAGAGGGCCAAAAAGTACAGACCTGGGTTTGTAACTACCTCTCTGGCTGCGACAGACGTGTCCTCTCCCAGTTCTGCGCGGTACTGTTTCATTTTCTCCAACATCGGCTCATCCGTGGGATAGAAGAGCAAGTAGGAAGCAGCACATTCAGCAGCCAGTGTCTGGTTCCCAACTTGGGCAGGGAGAGAACAGAACAAACAGATATGTCTCTGAAAGACTTGATGTTAGCAGCAAAAATGTGTAGGCCGGCAGCACCCAATGCCCTAGTCAGGATCCAGGAGTAGGAAGTCAGGATCCAGCAGTAGGAGGCCCTACACTGAGCACACATCGATCCCTGCCCAGCTGGGCCTCCACCCAACAGTCGGCAGAGAATACAGGGAATGAGCCTGGTGAAGAATGGGCCAACCTTCAATACTTTTTGGGAGCTCGTTCAGAGGAGACACAGAAAAAATAAGTTTATATTTGGAAGAAAGATGGTCCCACCTCCCTCACCCAATAAACATGATGAGGGCTCTGAAGGCTTCTTTGTGACACAGATTTTACCCTTGGTCCAACAGAGGAAATGAGAGACCTTTGGGTCAGTGTGGGATGGAGCAGCGGTATCCAAGAGAAAAGCTGAGGGATGTGTGAAAGCAACTGGGTGAGAGGATGACCAATTGGCTGGTCACTGGTTGGAGTGAGTCCAGAGGAGGTCACGGAGATGCTCCAAGGGCTGGAGCCCCTCTGCCATGGGGACAGGCTGGGAGAGTTGGGGGTGTTCAGCCTGGAGAAGAGAAGGCTCCGGGGAGACCTTATAGCACCTTCCAGTGCCTGAAGGGGCTACAAGGAAGCTGGGGGGGACTTTTTACAAGGGCCTGTAGTGACAGGACAAGGGGTAACGGGTTTAAATTGAAAGCGGGGAGGGTTAGATTGGATATCAGGAAGAAATTCTTCCCGGAGAGGGTGGGGAGGCACTGGGACAGGGTGCCCAGAGAAGCTGTGGATGCCCCCTCCCTGGAAGTGTCCAAGGCCAGGCTGGATGAGGCTTGGAGCAACCTGGTCTAGTGGAAGGTGTCCCTGCCCATGGCAGGGGGGTTGGAACTGGACGGGCTTTAATGTCCCTTCCAACTCAAACCGTTCCGTGATTCCACAAATATAAAGACAGGCCATCAGTTCAGCAAGGACAGGCAGGGCTGACCCAGAAGGAACACCGCTGCTGAGGGGAGATTCATGCACATGCTCTTATATAGGAAGCGGGAGCCTCGTCTGCAGCCACGTACGGAAAAGAAGGGCATAAAATGCACAGCAGATAGTTGGAGCAAGGACTTGAAACGGAGAGTGCTGGAGGAAAGAAGTGGTACCAGCCACACATTGCAGAGGCCACGCAAAGAAACCGCAGAAGGCACCTCTCCCAAGGTGGTCACAGGTTTCAGCAAAAGAGAGGTGCTGTGAAGAGTCCGGGGGTTGAAAGGGGGAGAGGATGGTAGAGCTCAGGTCAGTGTGCCACTTCTCCCTGTGCCATCCAGGTCCAGAGGCAAAGGGCAAGTTTAGGGGTGCCAGTGCACAATCCACTGGGTTGCGGCTCTGCTCACCTTGATCGTAGGCAAAATGCAGTAAATCAAGATGAGAGGGTATGAAATCTTCCGTGGCAGAAATCCGCCCCGGTTTTGTGGCAATTTCAAGGACGCACTGCTGTCTGCATTTCAAAACCTGAATATAATGGGCTGCAAGAGAGAGGAGCAAGAAAGGCTGTAGCTCCCACTCCTTCCAGACAAGACCCCTGGGAAATGGGGCACGTCCAGTGTGGGGAGCATGGCCTTCCTCCCTGACCCTCTGTGCCTCTAACGCTACCTGCAATGGCTTCGTACAGGCCAGGTTGCATCTCTTCCTCCTCGTCCTCGTCCTCATCCTCCCGAGGCCCTTCACACAGGGCACGACAGTCTTCCAGCGCTGACAGAGCCTCTGTGAGCGACTCCTCCAGCCTGGCCACAGCCTGCAGGTACTCATCTGCATTGTAGTGCTGCACCCCAGCCTCATACGCTTCCTGCCAAGGACAGACCCAGGCCCCCCATCAGTGAGGGCGACACCAAAGGACTCCCCTGAGACTTGGGAGTCGCTCACGGGGTAATGCTGACATCTAGGGGCCTGCCCGCTCTCGCACAGCCCACCACGCGGTGACAGCAAACACGGGCTTAAGCCAAATGTGCTTCTCCAAGGCTCTACAGCCTGCTGTAACGGTCACCAGACAGTGCCCGTGCCACACTCGCAGTGCTTTGTCTTCACCCCGAAGAGGAGGCTTCAGGGAGACCTTACTGCAGCCTTTCAGTATATAAAGGATGCTTGTAAGACTTGAGAGAGACCTTTCACCATGGCCTGTGGTGACAGGACAAGGGGTAACGGGTTTAAATTGAAAGTGGGGAGGTTTAGATTGGATATCAGGAAGAAATTCTTCCCGCAGAGCGTGGGGAGGCACTGGAACAGGTTGCCCAGAGAAGCTGTGGATGCCCCATCCCTGGAAGTGTTCAAGGCCAGGCTGGATGAGGCTTGGAGCAACCTGGTCTAGTGGAAGGTGTCCCTGCCCATGGCAGGGGGATTGGAACTAGATGGTCTTTAAGGTCCCTTCCAACCTAAACCGTTCTGTGATGCTGCATATGGGGACCTTGTATCAAACCATGGCCCTTGTCTGGGAATGGATCAGAGCCCCAGACCGGTCCGTAGGATGGGATAAGAACTGCTGATTCCCCGCTCTGCATCAAACCCTCACCCAGTGTGGCGTGGCCTCCAGGTCCCGGAAGTTATCGGACTTCACCCCTGACATACGCCGGTACTTCTCTATGTCCTCCCGCATTTGGAGGTGCTGGGGATTAGCGACGAAGAAGGTGTGAGCGGCAGACACGGCCTGATCCAGCTTCTTCAGCTGTGGAGACAAAGCAGCGGTGCCTGTCACACTCCCACGGGCCCCCCTTCTCTTTAGGCACATCCCTGGCCCCAGCTGCTCCCCAGATTCTCCCAGAAGGCGCCTGTGCCCCACGCTGCCCCGACAGCCCGTGTCTGGGGATGGGGAGCCCCTGCTCTCCACCTCCTCATCCCGGGGATGGGG